GGAAAAGGAATTTCATGAGTTAATTTAAATCTTAAGCCTTTACGATAGCATTCTAGTATGGTAAAACTAATAGAAATTTGGGTTATATATATATATAGGAATATTGGCTATAAATCTAAATAAGCCATGGTTTCATATCACAAGTCATTAGTTATTAGGAACATAATGATCTATGATACAAAGCTCACGTAAACATTTAAAAGTATGTTTTAATTTTTAAACTGCTAAAGTTATTCTTCTGTAAACCATGAAAGAAAAGGCTTAGTTCCAAGATCCCATGGCTGTATGTAAACTACATTTGGTTTATCATAGTTTTGCAATGTGTCTGCATAGCATGCAATGGTGAGCAGCAGTTAAGTCAAAGTGAAAATCAATAAACTGAAATTCAGAGCCCTTTGACATTTTGTAGATCAGCCATGTGGAAATATTTTGAGTTTCCTGTCTTAACAAAAATAATATATTAATGCAATTTGTGCAAAATAAACATCAAATATACAGAACATATCAGTGCTTATACTTCAGCATCATGCAAAATGCTGATTTGGAGAAATTCTACAGAAACCCAGCACAAATATAACCCTATTATACTTTGTATTTAACTTAAGTAAAATTAACATCTGTGTGCTGTTGTTTTTTGGGGTTTGGGAGAGTTGTAACTATTTCAAATGCAAGTAAACAGCATATTCTTTACTGATGAATAAATATTCTTTTGTTGAAATGGCTGTGTTGATTTAAAACTATAGCAATTACTTTTAAATCATTTAAACAGAGATGTGGAAGAGGTTGCATGAATTGCAATGTGCATCATATCATGGCTTGTGTATCACAATACATATATCATGAGCCTAGTGTAATGACCCACTAGTTATACCTCATTTGGAGTATTGTATCCAGTTTTGGTTCTATCTTAGAAAGACCACTGAGTTGTTGGAGAGGGTTCAGATGATGGCTACTAGGATAAGCTAAGTTTCTTAACTTGTTCTCTCTTGAAGAGGAGGGTCAGGGGTTATCTTATTTAAAGGGCCCATAATTATTAAAGGAATTAATATGACTGATGTATCGGATTTTTTGTGCAGGAAGAATAGGTCATAAAATTAAAACTTTGAAGGGTCAGGTATCTTTAGTTTAGGCTGTTTTAATCCTCCTTCAATAAGGCAGTAAACCTGTGGATTAAATTGCCATCTAGAGTGGTAGAGGCTGTAACTTTAAAGATGTTTAAGAGAAGAACTAATAATTATTTAAAGGATCAAGGCTGAATTTAATAATTAGTTTTGTGTTTACTGAGGGAAGCTGGGAGCCAGGTCATCCTTGATAGGTCAAAAAGGTGAAAGCCCCTTGATTTCCAAGAACTTATAATTTACAATTAATACTAATGTTTGGTCAAGGTTTTAAATACTTCATTACTATTATGATTAATAAATTTTATTCAATTTTATATAACAAAATATGCATGGAACTACCAATTTTGTTCACAAAACAAAAAATAATTCAAAAATGAAATGCTTACAGACATGCAAAGTGTCTTCAGTTCTTATCACATACACAAAGGAACAACTAAAAGTAAACCTAATTGTTATATCTAAATATTTATATTCAAAGTTTTAACAGTATGTTTTTAAGATGTACCATAAATTGATGTCAAATACAAATATGTTCTTTATGGCCTCTGAAAAATATGTCTAATTTACTTTAGACTATGAAAAAAGTTAATAAACATACATGCACAATAGTATTTTTATTTAAAAAATGAATATCAACAACAATATTAAAAGAATACAAGAAGAAAGTAAACATTTAGACTAGAGTACCAGATCTGCTATAAATATAGGTATACTGTAAAATATTATATATTTTCACTACACTTTTAGAACAAAGAAGAAATGCTTACAAAGAACAACAGCCACAAACTGTGCAGTAAACACCGATGTTTTTTGCCTAATGTAGCTACTGTACTCATTATATATAGTAGAGCTAGGTAATTAGAGATTTTCTAATCAATTAATTGTTCAGTTCTTTAATTGATTACATTCAACTAATCAATTATTCTCACTTGAGATGGCTAAAAAAACTTGTGCTATAAATTGGGTTTTGATACCTACTATAAGCAGTACACAGACAGCCCATCATATGCCTAATAAAAAACAAGCATAATGGCAATACTTCGACTATTTGGATAGTTGGAATAAGATTAATTACAAACCCCAATTTCAATCAATTGATTATTTTCATTGATCTCGTGACATTAATCCATTAAGCTTGAATTAGTCAAAAATAATAATGGCAATACTTTGATTACTAAATAGTTTTAGTAATCGAAAATGATAATAATCAGAAACACTAATTTCAAATTGTTGATTATTTTTGTGAAAGCAACTGCAATTTTAATTATTTAATAGTTGGAATAATCAAAATTAGTAGTACTAGAAAGCACTAATTTTGATCAGTTGATTATTTTCATAAAATTTATCAATTCAATCATAACTTTAATTACTGGATAGTTGGATTAATCAAAAACATTAGTTGATTATTTTTATTATATTAACTGTGTGTTCACAGGTGGAGTCAAAGTTTGCATTCTATGACAATATATAAGGTGCCATTTAACATGGTACCACATATACGAGGTTAAGAGTCATCAACTACTCAATTTATCCAACATTGCTGATTTATAAACAGTTCATGGTAAAAGAGAATAAATACCACAAACAATATAGAAGCACTCTGTAAAACTGTAGATATGCATTTTAGAGATTCTAGAAATTACACAAAGGCAATATGCAAACTATTTGATGGACAAAAGTATTTTTATTCTTCAGATGAACATCATCATGCACTCCAATTTATGAGTCTGTGTACATATACTTTTACTAACAATTTGCCACATTTGGTGTAGAACACAAAGTAAATTCAGAATTATAGCTAAAATTCCTTCTTTAATACGGGGTTGGTCCAATTAATCATAATTTTGATTAATCAAGTTAATCACCCAAATCTGATTATATATAGTAGGTGTTTAATGTAATCATCACCATTATTTTGGTGTACATGCATACATAATTAACTGATATACACAAATATTCTAAAAATAAATAGCCAAAATTTTAAAATCCTATTTGTTCACTACAGTATCCAAAATAAAGATTACTAATTACATCTCACACAACAGTTGAAACAAACTTCTGTTAACATAAAATATCTACCAATGTGCATCCAAAGATTAAATTAATACATATTTTTTAAGGTTAATAAGTTGACTAAATTATATACTTATACTGAAAAAGTGACTTTTATGCTCACTTAAACTCCTATGCAACAAAGCCTCTAATTTGGACTGATCAAATTACAAACTCTTTATGCAGCAAAATAACTGTTTAGGCTCATTTTTTTTGTTACAGACAGTTTGTTTCAAATTTATCAAACTAGAAACTTTTAAAACACTTGGACCATTGATAGCAAACATAAATAAAAAATTTACATTAAACTTGTCTTTTCTAACCAATTAGAAACAAGTCTTTCTAATTTTACTGAGAGCCATTACAGTGATTCAGAAGAGTAAGCATACATAACTATAATTTACTGATTACAGTTTTTCTCCAAAATCCAATCCATCATGGTCAAAAATTGGGGTAATGACATGATGAAATTCATTAATCCATAATCTATAAATTTTAAATTATAAATAAAACAACTACATTAATGCTGTGAAAAACCATAAACACATTCATTATATATTCAGTAATTACAAAAAAGGCAAAAACTTAAAATATTCACACCAGCTATGATTCAAATACCCCACCTCAATACTTTTCAATATGCTTATAACCTTTTTTTTTCCTGTACTTTCAAATAGTACTCCAAATGAATTCTCATTGTTTTAAACAGTTTATAATATCCTACTATGAGTTAACTTAAAAGTGGATTTGCTGTTTTATACCAACAGTTAAACACTCTGCAAAAAAGATTTTATCAACAATCCAATCTAATTCCTTCTTTGTTTCACAACTATGATGGTCCTCTCAAACTAAAAATAACTTTTAAAATTGCCATACTTGTTTTCACTGTCCAGAACCAATCACCCATGAGATACACAGAACTACAGCTAAAGAAACAACTTACAGTTAATTATATCAGTTTAACAATAACGATGGTCAAAAGCAAGCTAACTCTACCAATCAGAATTGAAAAGTAACATAAATTAATGATGCTAATTCTGTACAATAAGTTGATTAAAAATGTAGAAAAGATCAGTTATATAGGTGTTGCAATATTAAGTGTGCAGTAAATATTGAAATATTTGACATATAATTTTCTGACAATTTAAGATATTATACATATATATTTTGGTGCAAACTCAGTAAACAGTCTCAAGGTTAACTTCAAAGCATATGAACATGTCTAAAAATATTTAAGTCTTGTATTTTTTTTTTCATGTAGGCCTATAGAAAAATAATTGTAATGAGTCTTTATGGATTATTGTCTGTACGTGTATTTCATTATTCATAATAACTTTCTTTAATCTATATTATTCTAACACTCACAGTACTATATTATGTTTTAATTTTTACTAAAGTCCTAATCTACTCCTTTTGTGTAGGTAATATCAGCCTCCAAATGTGGAATGGGTAAACATATCCCTCTTTCCTAGGATTATATTAATTAATACTATCACTAGAGCCTTGGGGTATAAACTATTTGGTCAAAATGGCAAACAGAATTATACACTAATTTTAATAGAAGTTTTAAAACCTAAACCTTATTCTCAATCTTTAAGCTTTAATGAAAACTGGAGTCTAAGCCAATTAATCATAATAAACTGAAAACAACCTAAAAAATATCTTATTTATGTCCAATAATCAATATTTCACTAAGGACATGACTTGAAAGCCTAGCCTAAGAAATTATGGTAATTGATCTGTACACTAATCTAAAACTTTTTCCTTTTAAATTTTTATTTTCATTTATATGTACTATAATTTAGTTACGTTACAATTTACAGCTTCTATAGTCATTATGATTAATATTATTAAAACTTTGAATTCATACGTTTATAAGCTTAATCACACTCATAGATTTGACATAAAGATCATATTAATTTTAATAACTTATTATTATTATGGCAAACATACTAATAGTATCATTAATACTTTGTGACTTATAACTATAACTTACAAGTTATAAGTATATATTGTCAATACTGGCGTAAGGCATTATATTAACAGTTACACTTACTTAAGTTACAGCGTTATGGTTACACTTACAAATACATGTAGTTGAAATTTTACCACTTACATTTACAATACAACAATTAATTATGCTAAATTAGTAAATTATTAGTAAATACTAAATTGATGTGACTCAATCAGTCATGCGTAATAACAATAAAGACAAAATATATTACCGGTTTTTGGTAGTCCCCGAACAACTTTAACGGCAGCACGAAATTTGTCTTCTGTTGTCATATTTAACTGACCTTACCAACACGTGAAAAAATAGAAATAACAAACTAGAAACTGTAACACCACTAACGCCATACACCTGTGTGACGTATCCAATCATTTTCATTTCAGTCCGCAAGGTGGCCGTAAAACCTCGTTTAGAACCTGCATGGGAAATTACTAGAATTGGCTTGATCATGTAGATATTGTTAATAATCCCTTGTGAGAGGTAGAACACATATATAAGAGTTCAAAGAATAAATATGATAGCCTCTTTCATTTTCAGTAGATCAATAAGACAGTTTGCAAGCGGCTAAGACTACAGAGGAGATAAAAGAGTGTTAAAAGTTGTTCTAGAAATTATAGGCCACTTAGTCTTATTTTTATAATGGAAAAAATTCTACAGAGTTTGAAAAAAGAAGTTTTACAAAAAAAGCTAATGAAATATGATACCATAATGATAAATGAAAGCCAACATGAATTCTTCAAGAAAAATATTGCCTTAGTAATCGGTTGTTGTTGTTTTTATATGTGTGTGTGTTACTTGTTACCTGGATTATGGAAAGTGCATGGACTTAGATTTTCCAAAAATTTCTTGCTAATGTGTTACATAAAAGGCTAGTTGATTTAATTGTAGGGTGTTTGGGGGACAAGAAAAGGTTGCTATCAATGGAATCCAATCAAAGTGGACTTTTGTTACTAATGCAGTGCCTGAGAAGTCAGTGTTTGGGTCTTTGCTTTTTTGTTATTTACATTATAAATATATTGATGGAGACATAATTAGTAATCAAACTGGTGTATTTACGTGTTTTACACTCACCACAAAAGAAACCTATCATTCTATAGGTATTTGAAGAACTTGTAGCAATCCGCCACAATTTAATTCTTCGTATTGTTAGCTGACAGTGGGCAGCTTGTACATAACACATATTTATTTAGGTATGTTCAATAAAATGTTTTCAAATTTTCAGAAAGGACATTTTTTTCAACAGTTTAGTTTATTTTCGTGAATGAGACAGTTTATATGGACAAATAGGTCCCTTGTTGTCCCTAAATATTTTGTTATGTTATTATACTTAGTAGTCTTCTATATAATAAGGATAAGCCCAGCATGAAATGCACTAATCCCTATCTTAAGTATTGTTTAATCCAGAAGGACATCAGTGACCAAAGTCATTCGTATCTACAGACCTGGTGTCCAAGCTAGTTAAATTATCTCATTTTTTGATAAGATTGACAGTGGAACGAATAGAAAGGTCAGACTCTGGTCTCTCTTGACCTTTGTCTCTTGTGATGTAACAATTTGTAAATGGTGATAGAGCTCCGTAAAAGATCGCATTTGCTTTTGATTGTCAATTTCTAAGGTTGAAATGCTGTTTGCTCCGTCTGCTGTTTACAGGCAAACTATCCAAAACTTAAAACAAGTCACAACAAAGGTGTGATAGTTATATCAATATAACAAAGCCACGTTTTTTTTATAAATTGTAATAAAAGTTTCAAAGTGGAATATTCTGTATCAAGTCTCTATTTATTTTGCTTGAATTCGATTTAATAACACCCTGCATGCAGACACTTCTGAAGACATTGTAGTACTTTTAACTTAACTATTGATTACACTTTTATCTGTGAATACCACACCATTAAAAACGGACTGAAATACCTTAAACTAATAACACGCTACAGAGTTTCTTGTGTATATGATGTCAATGTCTCTGTGTTGCTTATTTAATGTATGATAATTAAATGTTTCATCTAATAGTATTTAGATTATTAAGAACGATTTTAACTACGTGTATCTCATTATTATAATGTGATATTCCTGATTTAGAGAAATAAAGGTAAACTAACTCCGCAACAAGATATTCGAAGATCTGTTTGGATTTAATGTTAACGTGAAAATAAGAGCAAAAGAGAACAAACAAGTTTGACGAACGCAAAAACTAAGCGTTATTTATTTTACTTTACATGTCTTCCAAGTTGAAAAATCAAAATTGAGGTAAAACTTTAAAGGAAAACAAATTAAAATATAGTACTACATAATCAGCACATACAATAATGGACCTACAGGAAATCTAGATCTGACCAATCATAAATAGAACTGCGAGAATCCGGAAATAACTATTTTTCATGTGACAGCCACAGAGCAGTCTCAGATAGCTTCCGTGATCGAACCATGGTACAGAAAGTAACACCTGAAGCTAAATTTAGCACTTGACCTTGACTGGATTAAGTATGTTCCAAATTAGTTCTTAAAACAATTTCCAAGTTATGTAGTTACGAAATACGTGTTGTGGTAGAGCGAAATATTAAGTATTTGCATACGTAGTGGTCAATATGCTTTATTTATAATTCTAATGTTAAATCACTATACAACATTAGAAGTTATTTTTAATATTCGTTTGGTGTGAGGATAATGCAAGCAGTCAGTGAATTGTTTGTTGTTGAGCGCAAAGCTGTACAATGGGCTATCTGTACTGTGCCCACCACGGGTATCAAAAACCGGTTTTGAGCGTTATAACTATCCAGACTTACTGCTGATCCACTTGGGGTAGTCACTGAAGGTTATCCCATAGAGAGAGATGTTGTCACATGCACGCCTAGTTGAAGGTTAATGTGATAGTCTCCGATATATTAATTATCTCAGAGATAAAAATAGCAAGCGCAATTACTAGAGGAATGGCGGAAAATATTAAGCAAAGCTAATTAAATTATTTTCCTACTTCATCGAGTTGAAGGAAAACACTGGACACAAAATAGGCAGTGGAAGAAAAATAACAGTTTATTTACTAATTAAATTTTGTTGTAACGCAAAGCTAACAAAATGATGTATCTGCGTTCCGGCTACTAAGGGGAAATCTAATTCCGGATTTTAGCTTTGTAAGTCTGTAAATTTACTGTAGACGCACCGAGGGACATTAAATAAAAGACAAACAGTTTCAATACAGCAGATAAACTCTTCTTTCTTTCGAGACAGGAGGGAGATCTGTAGCAGTGGAAAATCTGAATTCCTCCAGGAGAGAGATAACCTCGCTATCTAAACCACATTAATGAGCCAGTTCTACAATGACATCTGCAATACAAGAATTTAGTGATACGCTGAAGGGGAATGACCTCGTGTAACTAGCACGTGAACAAATTGGGCGAATACCACAACTAGTTCCCAATATTTTTGAACCTATACACATGCCCGCACACACGTATATGTGAAAATTTCGACAAATTCACCTGTCTAAACTACATAAAAGAAAATAAACACCTAGGGCCGTTTGCTTCTTTCTCAGTTCTAATGGTAAAGCCTGGATGTTTGATATTTAACAAGGGCGGCCTTTGTTTTACGTTCCTTGCCTCAACGTCATAACCTCTACAATCAGCCCCCCCCCCCCCACAGCAGTATGTCTGCGGACTTATACTGCTAGAAACCGGGTTTCGATACCCATGGTGGGCAAAGTACAGATGGTCCTTTGTGTAGCTTTGTGCTTAATAACAAACAACAACAACTCTACAATCATACTAATGGTCCTCCAATGTTTATTTAAATCGTTAGGCCTATAAAGCGAAAAAAAACTAATATATGTATGTGTACATATATTTGTATTTTGCATAATTTTAATGCTGGTTTCATAGTTTTCATAAAAATCTTCCACGAGCGGGGTGAAGGGGGATACCATCTTCTGTTAGCTTTGAAATCCATATTCCTTTTGATTTACAAGGGAGGGTATGTGTGTGTGTGTGTATTTTGCATAATTTTAATGCTGGTTTCATAGTTTTCATAAAAATCTTTCACGAGTGATACTAAATATCCCTGAACACTCCAGTTGAGAAAAGTTTCTTTTGTTTTAAAACTAAACACTTGCCACGAATAATTTTTTTAAAAAAAAATAGTGATTCAACCCTATTCAACAGAAAAAAATATATATTCACTGTACATGCAACAGTCCCTACAGTATGGAAGACACGTGAAACAGGTTATTTCACTCTTGCGCAATTCGGCGGAGGAAAAAAAAACAAACCAAAAGATCTATTGATTAACTGTTATTAGGTGAAACAATTATTTTATGTATTTTGTTTATTTCCTTCTAATGTTTTGAAATATCTGTTATCTGCTAATTTCACTATTCCATAACTAGTTTAGAATGTATTTGTAATCAGGTGTATTCAGGTAATTGTTTTAAATTTTCGGGCAAGTTTTCTCCATGAAGTTAGTGACATCCTTGTAAATGGGATGACCAAAGGTCGTAAACCTACACTGACCGTTTTGATGAAGTAAAGATTACAAACTATAACTGTTACACCCATAGAAGTTTGAGCCAGTCTGGCTATGTCTACTTCCTAGGGTATGGGTGGGAGGTCAAGGGGTGATAGTGATACTTGTACAAGTTGATATGAGTTGTAGATTCTCTGCTTTGTATATATTGTTTGGAATAGTTAATGACGTAGGTAATCTAAGGATCATAAGATATCGCACTATGATGGTTTATTGGTAATGTTTGAGCTCGAGAGATAATTTTTTATAGCAATTATATCGTATTTTAGTAGCTTTTACAGTTTCCCCTCATTGTACTTTTTCATTTTCTTCTACAAAGTTGTAGTTCTGCGCATATTACTCTTTTGTGCATTTTTCTAATTACTTAGCACAAACTGTCATTTTTATGTTTGTTTAGAACGAGAGACCAGCAACCCTTGAGTTCTGTTGGTTTGCTGTTGCTTAATTTAACTTTGGATGTTTTCCTTTAACCTTTTTCTTTTTACTTAATTTAATTTATATAGTTCTTAATAGTTACACACTAATCACTTTTCTATTATCCTGTATTGTTTTGTATTATACTTTGACTTTATAATTAAACATTTGTGGTTTGAGTAAACTTGTGTCCCGTCTCTTTTTTTTATGATCCAACTATTGCTTATTTGTTGTACGGCAAAGCCACATTGAGCTATCCGCTGAGTCCACTGCGGGTATCAAACCCCTGGTTTTAGCGTTTTAAGTCGGTAGAATTACCGCTGTCCCACCAGAGACTCAACTGTTGCAACTCCAACGGAAGTACACATCAAAATCCGAGATCAGAGAAAGTCCTTTCGTTAGCGGGCCTAAGTTCTCTGCTCTGTTGCTTATACAAGAGCTATTACAATATTTAAAAAAAAAATATTCTTGAAATCTCATAATTTAGTTTAAACTAATATACTAATTTCGAAATTTTTTTTATTCGTTTTATTTTAAAATATGCTCCCCAGTGTCACAGCGGTAAGTCTTAAGGCTTATAACGCTAGAAAATGTCTTACAATACCCGTGGAGGCACAGCACAGATAGCACATTGTGTTTCTTTGTGCTTAACTAGTAGATAAAAAACAAATAATTTAAAAAACTACGAATACCTTTATGGTATTATTTACTGTAGTTTTGGTTTGTTTTGAATTTCGCGCAAACTACTCGAGGGCTATCTGCGCTAGCCGTCTCTAATTTAGCAGTGAAAGACTAGAGGGAAGGCAGCTAGTCATCACCACCCACCGCCAACTCTTACACTGCTAAATTATGGATGGCTAACGCAAGATAGCCCTCGTGTAGCTTTGCGTGAAATTCGTAACAAACAAACAAATATTCATTTTTTTTCACTACGTTTGTAAAGTAATAAATATGGAATAAAATGGACAAAAATTACAAACTTTAACCATTTCATCTTTAGCTGACTAGTTTTCAGTACTCTTTTATCTTCTGTATCGATATTCTTTTTGTTTTAATGTGCGATTATATCTGTATAAATACTCATACGTTTATGTATTGATATACTACACTACATCTTTTAAAATAAATTATTTTATTTTGCTGTTCTTTATTTTACTACATAATAACCATTTTCGTAAGGGAAGTATTAGAATTGGTATTACTGACTGGATATCAGTTCATTTTCTCTCTGTAAAAATAGAAGAGATTTATTATCATCATATTGTGAGCTCTTGATATATTAATAATGAAATTAATTAAAGCGTAGCTTCTCCGACAGATTGCGTCCTAACCTAACTCGTGTTAGGGTTAATCTTAGCACCGAAACGTTTCATTTCACCCGGTTATTTTACTACTACTAGTATTAGTACTATTGCATATTTTGAAATATCAGTGAAAATGGGAAAATCGCAGCTAGTAAAAAGTAAAACAATTTCTACTGTGAGGAAAATTAACAATGTGAAACTAATTAATAAAAAGCAGACAAAACTTTTGAAAAGAGGTAAAATAAAGCCCCAGAACATAGGACGTAAATTTTCTACTACTAGGCCTACATTGAAACGAAACAGAATGGAGAGGGAAACTAAGGAAAATAAAATTGAAGTGGAAGAAAAGGGGGATGCAGAAAATTTGGATAATTATCAAAATGATGGCTTGGAAGATGTAATTGAAATGATTGATAAAGATGATTTGGAATACATCAAAATGCAAGGTAAAACAAGAAATCCATTAAGTTTTACATCACATATATTTCCTAGACAGTCAAAACAGGAACAAAATGACTGGAATTCTGTTTCTAATACAAGTAGTGAAGAGGAGGAAGAATACGAAAAGAAACCACGAAAGAGTTTTGAAGGCGAAACGGAAGTCAAGCACCTCTTACCTATAAAAGATAAATATGGTATTATTCCAAAAATGACAGTGGTTACAAATAAAAAAGTTGATGAAGAAGTATCTATATGTGTAATGAAGGATATTGCAGGAGAAAGTGAAGTAAATGGAGAACAGAAGCAATCTGAAGTTAAGAGACAACTGAGTCTTGTAGAATTATATGCAGAACGACAAAAAAAACTTCATGAAAGAAGACAAAAAATTGGACTGCTTGCAAGTTCTGTTGTTGAAAATCCAGAAGAAAATCTCAGAAACCTGAAAGAGCTTGTTTTACTAATGGGAGAAAAAGATCCAGAAATATTCTTGTCTTCAAGAAAACTAGCCGCTCTTTCACTTCTGGAAATTTTCCGTGACATTCTTCCCAGTTATAAGATACGACTTCCTACACAAAAAGAGAAAGAACAACGAGTTAAAAAAGATGTTAAAAAATTAAGAGATTTTGAGGAAAGATTATTGAGACTGTATAAACATTATCTGGAAAGATTAGAAGTGATGTTGTTGCCTTTAACATGTAAAAGGAAAAGGAAAGCACAAAGGAATGAAAATAATATTTCCTGTGCTAAAGAGAGAGCACAACATCAACTTGTGTTAGTAAGTGTTAAGTGCTTTTGTGACTTGCTTGTCACTCACCCAGAGTTTAACTTTCGAGAAAACATTATATACCTGCTTATTCCTCTTATGGCCAACAGAAATAGTGCTATTTCAGAAATGTGTTGCGAAACAATACAGAAAGTTTTCAGAAGTGATAAACTAGGTGAAACGTCTTTGCTAATTTTAAAGCAGATGAGCAAAATGATGAAAGGAAGAAACTATGAGGTTCCCCCTCAAGTGGTGCAAACTTTTCTGTCATTGAATATTCGTGAATGTGATTTAAAATCACAAGAAGAAACAAATGAGAAGAATACTTCTAATAAAAACCAGCCAATTTTGTCACGCAAAGAAAGAAAGAGGAGAAAAAAGATGATGCATCTTGAAAAAGAATTATTAGAAGCTGAAGCAGAAGAAAACAAAGCAAAGAAAGGAAGATTTCAGACTGACATTTTAAACCAAATATTTTTCTTATACTTTAAAATCCTTAAGAATAAAGCTAAATCTCCAATCCTGACTCCTGTATTAGAAGGAATTTCAAAGTTTGCACATCTGATTAATATAGAATTTTTTGATGATTTAGTTTCCTGTTTCAGTGAACTTATTGAAAAAGGTGAACTTGATGGTAATGAAATGTTGCTGTGTATACACACTGTGTTTACTGTTCTTTCAGGTCAAGGTGTAGCATTAAACATTGATCCACAAAGGTTTTACTCATATTTATATAGAACTCTTTTGTTAGTTAATGCAGGAAAGACAGCTGCTCATATGCCAATTCTGTTTAAATGTTTGGATGTAATGCTTTTGAAAAGGAAAAAACAACTAACACATCATCGAGTTTTAGCTTTCTTGAAACGACTGTGTACAGTTTCACTTCAGACAAGTCATGAGGGAACATTGGGAATATTGGCTGTTGTACGCACAATGATGCAGTCCCACAAGCAGGCTGATATTTTGTTGGATCCTGAAAGTTCTGGTGGAAGTGGAGTGTATCTTCCAACTTTAGAAGATCCCGAACATTGTAATGCCAGTGCCACAGCACTTTGGGAACTGAAGTTCCTCCAGCGTCACTATCATCCTGTGGTGGTAGAGTACACTAATCACATATTACATGGCTGTCCTATTCAAGGTAAAGGTCATCTTTCACCAACACTAGCAGCTGAATCTCCAGTAAGTTTGTTACAACAGTATGAGACAAGTTTGATGAAACTGAATCCACAGCTTTCAAAAAGCAAAAAAGTCCACAATGTCAGGAAACATCACCTTTTAACAAGCTCAGAAAGTTTGATATCCCTGTATTCGAATATTTTAGAACATAGTGATGATTTAACACTTAAAAAAGTCAGTACTTTGAAGTCATAGTTCAGAAATTAAGCTGTTGTGTTTTTGTACACGATGGATGTTGTGGTATAAATAAATTTGGTTTATTCTGATTTATGGTGGAAAATTACATCTTAATTTCGTATTAAATGTCCAAGTAAAACTGATGACATTATACTTAAAAAAAAAATGTTTTTTCTTAAAACAAAAATTTTATGTGGAATTTGAGCAATACTTGAACTGTGTTCAGGGTATTCAGAAGTATATGAAGTTAATTATTATGTCAAAACAAAATCATAATATGGCACGTACCCAAATTTGGCTAATAATTGTAAGTTACTTGGTTATATGTAAATTTATTTCAGAAAAATTCATTCATTTTATTCCCTGCAGTATAACATATTTTTTGTATATATAAAAATATGCCACATTTTATAACTGAGCAATAACAGTCTAATTTCAAAACTAGGCTTAAAATTTTCAATAAGCTGTTATAGGTTTCTGTGTAAACCTAGAGATTGCTGCAGTATATAGCTTGACAGGTTATCGTTGTTTCACTTTTAATTAAAGTTGTACAGTTCGTAGACATCATTACTAATAAAAAGTATTGTTGGTTTTTAAACATATATCTTTTAATCCTGATACTGTTAAGGTAAAATTATATCAAAATATTTATATATGATAAAATGAAAACAAATTAACTTCTTTAGTGTGTTGTGACATTTTACGAGTGCATACTTGAAGCATTTCCAAAAAATGCCATATATATATATATATATATATATATATTGCATTTGTTTATGTATTCAGGACCAAAATCCTTCTTTAGTAAAATATTCAAACAGGGTGTTGTTAGTAGCAAGGGAAGTAAGACTAGGTTTTTTATACAGAAATATTGAATATGGGTCTAAGAGGTTATAATTTCATTGTATAGGTATTGCTGAGGCCACATTTGGAGTTTTATGTTCAGTATTGAGTGCTTTACCTTAGAAAGGATATTAAATTGTTGGAAAGGGTTCAGAAGAGGGCTAATGGATGGAATGGTTGCCATGTGAGGACAAGTTATGATCTCTGAAATTGTTTTCTCTTGCAAAAAGAAGTTAGAGGGGGGATCTGATTGGGATGTTTAAGAATTGATTTTGTTGATGCATCATTGTTTTTTCATACTTAATGGTAGGCTTAGGGGACACATATATATTTCAGCAGGGTGGTTGGCCTTTAGAATGGATTGTTTTCAGATGTGGTCGATACAATTAATTTAAGGAAAGGCTTGATTATTTAAATGATAAGGGCTGGCTCTGAGTGTTATATTTTTATTTTAAAGTTTAGGTTAATGGACAGGATGACCTAGATGGACCAAGAGATCCTTTATTGTCCTTAAATCATACATATGTGTGCATGTTATTGTACACATTAGCACTGAAGTTTATAAAATGTAGTGCTGGGGAATTATTGGAATTTGGTAATTGGGTTCATTAATTAAGTACATTCAACTAATCGATTATTCTCATGAGAGCTGGATAGTTGGAATAATCAAAAATAATAACCATTGGAAACACTAATTAAGATAAATTGATTATTTGCATGGGTCATGACAATAATTGATTCAGCTGAACAACCTTGAATTAATTTAAAATAATAAGAAATCATAATGGCAATATTTCAGTTACTTAGTCAGAATCATTGGAAACACTAATTTGATTAGTTGATTTGTTTTCTTGACATTAATTGTAATTTTGATTATTTTTATGTGACGCTAATCAAAGCTCACAGGTAATTGGCCAGCTATAATAAAATATGAATTAAAAACCCAAGATTTTGTTTAACAAATTTTGTAAAATTAAGACAAGGTTTTCTAATTGGTCAGGTAGCTAACATATTAAGATACTTTGGATTTTTTTATTGAATAATCATTTAAAACTTTTTTTGACATGTTGAAGTCGTAAATCAGAATGATTTCTGGGTTTCTGTTTTCAACACATCATGAACTTCTTTTCATACTTGTAAAGAAACATTGTGGTAAGTTAATATTTATCACAGAATAAAAACTTATGCTTTTCACAACAATTTGTATTTGAATGTGAAAATTTAGAAACAGACAGACTCAATTTTACCTGTTAAGTCAAACTATTGAACAGTTGTTTACAGATACAGAATTATATATGAAACTTTTGTCTTTATAACGTACCTCCGTGAAGTTAATATCCAGAAAGGGGGGAAAATTTAAATATCACACAATTAATATATTTACTTGAATTCAGAGTTAAATTTAAAAAAAAATTATAGAGCCAATGTGTTAAAATATTAAATTTTGTAAGATTTTTTTTTCCCCTCCAAAATGCTGATTACACCTGTAAAATTATGCTCAGATTGCTTATTTCAATACTCGAAATAAGGAACTATAAGTACATCTTTCGTAATCTGTTTCTATTGTTGAGGGAACTCTGCTCATTTCTTGTAGACTCCACTACATAGAAAAGAGTCAAATATTTAACAAGTTTAAAATACTGTAAACAGAAATGTTTATACCAATAAAATAAAACTATTTTTAAGAGACCAGTTTGCTTTTCAACTTTTATCTAATATTTTTTGCTTTCCTGGTTGCTTTGACTGCAATTTATTAAGAATGCTAGATGAACAGTTTTCACTTAGCTCTTCTTGTCTTAAGATGTGGAGTTTTAGCCATCTTGTCATTAGTAGACATAATAACTGGACATTATACTGTATTTTATTTTCTTACATACTTTTAAGCTGCTAAAATAAAGTAGCTAACTAAATTTAAGAAAATATATTGTCATTAAAAGATGTAAGAAGCAAGAAAAAAAGATGATTGAAAAACTACATCAAGATGAAAAATAAAATATTGTGTATCTGGATAAGGGGTAAAAACCAAGGTTGGTAAGTCTGTCAATTGACTGTTAAAAGAACCTGCAACTTGTATCAAAACCTGAGTATTAGCTAAGGTTTTTTTTATTAATCTTTGGACCACAAAGTACCCCCTCTGTTTATAGGAAAGTCTTGTACCATTATTAATGAACTTCAAACAAGGAAAAAATGTATTCATGGTGTCATTGCCTAATAGTTGTTACCTTTTTTTACATGTTTTGTAAATTTGTAATGCATGAGCTTAATGAGTCGCTGCTCTTCATCCACTGCAACCTTTATTGGTGAGTGATGATATACTATGCTGTATTATAAGTTACACTATAAACAAGTATTTGGTATAATGACTGGCAATATTATTTATGATATACAACTTCAAAACCATGACACTATGCAGTACTGGCCTTTTTGTGGTCAGAAGGTTGGAAAAAACCACCAATTAGTTTTTATTTTATTTTCATATACTTCACATTAAGTCAAATTCGATAGATGTAGTTAACAAGTGGTTTCTAAGAATGAGGAAGGTATGCTTGTTTTTTTAATCCCTTGCACGAAAGTCAAAATCACTGCAAAGATGATTATTCATATTGAAATGATTAGTCTTATTTACCTGTAATTCACATTTAACTTTTTATTTTTATAAGTTACTTGTGGTTAATCGGTCTTCAGACTAAGACAATTAGCAATAAACTGGCAAACCTTATTTTGTTCAAACATTGTATTTATTCATGTGACACAGTTTTTCTAAATGTTACATTTTTAAACAAACATGGAGTAGATATTACTGTTAAACCATAATGTGAATCATTAAAAATAAACAGGAACTTGTACTGCTAATGAAGCCATGTCTCAGTCGCTAGAGTAATGGGTGAGAAAACAATACTGAAAAGGGGGAAGAGCTTGCTAAGTAACAGACAGTTGTCTCTAACCCTACACATAGAAAAAAAAGGAGAGAGAATTTTACAACTAGTGAAACAGGTGAACCTGTATTAGTGTTATAAATCAATTTCAGAAGCTTACCTCTGAAATTGATCTGTTACACCAAGAAATGAATAAGTCTCCCCACAACAAAACAAGACCAGGTCCATCCCCCAGTAAGTAAATATAAAAATAGAAGGACTTGGTAATGCTTAAGTGGCTCCATCTGCTTCAAATTTCCTAATCCCAAGCAAGGCAGAGAAGTTTATCTAATTAAAAAAAAGACAGAGAGAGAACAAATTGTGGCTGGAAGAGTAAACTCAACCATAGAAGTTGCTTTTATATCTGGAATGTAGCTTGTGATAACCCCAATGAAACATTTTTATTTAAGTTAAACCTAACCATTGAAATATAAAAAATTTAGGTTCAGTTTTTTTTAATCATCACTTGTGTAGTTTATGGCTATTCATGATTCTCCCCATTTATTAGCTACAAGTAAAAATTATTAGTACCGAGATTAGTTTTGACAGCAAAGGACTAGTCTAATGTATGTTCTTTGTTGTCTGGTCACTTAATCCTGACTACCAATGTGCATATTTTAGCTCACATAATTCAACAACCATCTTAGCAAAGAATCTATTGGTAAGGATAGTTGAAAGTGTTTTATAACTATTCAATTAAATAACTTGGAAAACACGAACACAATACAATGTTTATTACTGTTCAGTTAACCTTATTGGTAGTGATCCAAAGGTTAGCAGGATGCTACAATATTTTGTGTCTTTCATATGGTGTAACTTTTGGTACAGATATTTTGAATTGCTCGTTTTATGTCAGAATGCTAACTAATTGAAGATACTTTATTTGGAATTGTTTTGACAAAATAATTAATGAAATATTTTATGACAGACTTTGTGACAGTTGTTTCTGTTGGAGCTTATGAAATGGCAATCTATATTATTATTATTACCTAAATGCAAGATAATTTATAAATTTAGAGTTAAGAATCAGAAATAGAGTTTGTCATATGTATCATTTTCAAACACACTGAATTTTTAGTGTACGATGTTTTATTATAGTCTCATTAGATTTTATTAATTGTAGATAAATGTTAAATTAATAATTAATGTTTTTAGTTATTAAAATCCAAGCATTTTATTGGTTATTAATAATAATAATACCCCATTAAAATTTACATTTAAATAGTACAGGTTAATAATATTTGTGACTATCCAGTTTAACATTTATTTTCAATCATGTTCATAAATAACAACATGAACAGTATTTTGAGCCAAGATGAGAGAGACAAAAATATGTTCATACCAATTCTAATCATTTATGTAAGTATCCCTGCAAAAATGCTGTTCTGACGTTTTATGATAAAACTTGAAATACTTCTGTGTAAAGAATCATACTTATACCAATGTTTTATTACATAAAATGACAATTATTACATTTATTATTTTTTGGTACACATAATTTTAAAACCACTAAATTAAAGAATAAGTAGATAAATAAGAACAGCTTTGAAGTAGCAGTTACTTAAAAAAGTTATACTTAGATTTTAAACTGGGAGCCATAGTAAAGTAACCCAAACAGCCATCACTATTTAATGAGCTTTAAGAAAGCAGAATAGAACTATTATATCTCAAAAAAGTATTCAAGATCATAATTTGTTTACAATATGATTGGCACAGCAAACACATATCATAATCAAAAAATAATAATTTAAAGTAATGGCAACAATACAAAATAATTTGTTCATTGTAATGAAAAACTATATTCTACTACTCTTCTTCCTTGCAGTGTCCGAAAGAAACATTATGTGTACAGAATTTTACTTGTACATTAAAACTCTCACAACTATACAATACTTATGACTGACTTCGCTTGTGCTTGTATAGAGTATATATACACATAAATGGCACTTGATAGATCGTACAAAGAAATATGATTTACACAAAATGAACAGAAAATATCAATTTCTGGTAGATGCACGATCCTGAATACAAGCATACTGGTATCTTATCTTAGAAGAGCTAAACAATTACCTTTGTGTTGCATATATAGACAAAAATTACAACGGTATTGGGATGTTCCAATATTTGGTAATCTTAAGAAATATAATACATTAATAACCATTTAATTACTAAATTTTTCTGATAACTGTTGGCTTTGATTTACATTACTAAAAGCATGTATTTTGTTTTCTGTTTCAGGAGGATTAAAAAAACAATATGTTCATTGCATTTCTACTATATATACATACACACACACACACAAAGATACACATCTATTAATTGGTTTATAAAATAACTTGGTTCCAATTACTAATAACTGTCTTTGGTGTATAAAAAAAAGCTTACTCATCTGAGTCCTAGTCCAGTAATAATTTCTAGTAACTATAGCATAGCAGAAACTTAAGGTTTATCACACTCCTCGTTGTAACACATGCATAAATATACATATTTGGAGGTCACTTTACGAGAATTTTCACGACATGAGCATTTTCCAATTATCTACTGGCAACAACAAAATTTTTCACAAAACTACAGAGATTCACATCAAGAAGTTTTTAGGGATTTTTTTTTGTTTTCATTTGTGATACAAAAACAAACAAACAGTGATGAGCAGGACATGGCACATAAATTTTTGACCATCACATCTTTAACTCCGCTGGTAAAATTGTGGGGTTTGTAAATTTTGTGAGCTCACTTCAATATCCCACACAATGTATTGCATCTTCTTATCAAACATTAGATGCAACGTGACTATGAGACTTAATATTCCTCCAATGGAATTGCAGTATAAAAAGTTTATGAGCTTCGGTATCGTGGGAATTTTCCATATATTATACAGTACATTTTCATAAAAACATAATGCATTGTACTCACAATGCATATAAGTCTATTGTTTCTGTTTGTCCCTTACACAGCTCTGACTTCTATATTGAAATTGCTTCACCAACATATTTTTGTGCCTTTAGTCCACTTGAAAAAAAAATTAGACTTATATTACATTTGTCTTTTATGGGATAATATAACAAAATGAAGGGCATGTGGAAAGTGTCATTTTTCTCTGATCTTGTGATCTTCATATACCAGAGCTTCAGAATTGAGGCACATTTGTCTGATAACTCTGAAAACACAAGGCTGTTGCTGTTGTTTGAAATGTAATCACCCGAGAAAAACATACAATTTTTTTTAATGATTATTAATCTTCAGCATTCAAATTCTGAGGCAGTTATGGCATTTAGATCCTTCATCAGGCCTTCCAAGTTAGCCATTTCTTGATTGAGTTCCTCTGTGCTACAGGAAGACTACAAAGGAAGAAGAACAGTGACATAAAGTTTTAACATATATATTGAAAACAAGAGTATTTGCTGAGACTTAAAATCCTTTATAAAGTAAATATTTTAATGTACCCAATTTTAATTCAGTGGATTAGTTTCATAAACCCACATCAAGTGTATTTTGTTTTTGTATTATTAGCAACAAAATATTGTAACTTGGAGGAACGCTTACTACGTCCAAGTAATTCCAGTATTAAAACAAAATTTATCAAGAGACAAAGGAAGTAGTGAAGAGAAAAACAAAGTTTAAATTTTGAGTTGAATGAGCAGTGACTTGAATTAAATGACATCAGTTTTTAAATCATTAAAGTAAAAATCACATGTTCATCTAAATATCATTATAGGAAGTATCAGTGATAAAAAAAAGTCAAATCAATAGATATTGCAAATATATTAATATGTTCTTTAATTGTTATTAATAAACTAGAAATTTGATTTATATGGCAAGCCAAAGATCTTTCTATCTATTAAGGTACTACATAAGATAAAGAACTAACACAATCAATAACAAAAATAACTTATTGAAATTATTCTTCAATTTTAGACTATTTTTACTATTGAAAGCCAAGTGTTTTGGGTGTATTACTGGCTTACTATTAGATGATCTTATCTGCAAAAGAAAGAACCAACTGTGGTAAAAGGATTAAGTTTTCTAGCCAAAAACTTTGTATAACTTTGTCCTTACTGCTACTTCATCCTCTTTCTCACACTTTGAGGAGAGGTCTGGTACATTTGGTGTGACAATTGCTGTACTAGGTTGGGTAACAACAGCTGATGGGTGTGAAGAGGAGCTACCAATCAAGTTGGATGCAGGTGTATTTCCACTGTATATTGCCTTTTTGTGGGGACTGGGAACTCCTTGTGGGCGAACAGCTAACAATTAAAGAATTAGTTATAGGTATCCACAAGAACAAAACAGATTTTAAGTTACTTAACCTTATTAAAATAATAAATGTCCAAAAATGAACAAATAGTTACATTATACAATAAGGTATTACTCTTTGGTGTTCATTCCACCAAACTATCAATTTGTACTGGTTTTCAAAACGAATTTTTGGTCTCATTTGAAAACCATTACAACTTTTGTATGTGATCCTGCATGCTAACTTCTTAATCATTAACTATCAATTTGTTTCACCCTTCTATTGAGTAGAATTAAGCAAAGGTACCATATGTTCCAGTAAAACCCTATATGTAATTCATCTCACTGAACCACTAGCAGGTAATTCAGATACGATAAGCTATGGATTCGTTAAATCAATCAATTTACTGATGCTAGTCAAATTGAAACACATAATAAACGCATATAACTGGTAACGTAAACATCTCAGGTTAATCAGAATTTTCTGGCTGATGATATTATAAAGCTGTATTTTTGAAAAATTAAGAAGTGCAAATTTTAAGATTATTTTCCTTTATTTATATAATGCATTATCAAAAACGTACATTTATGCTATTATGAACACTATCAGCCCTCATCATACCCCTCTATAACTATCAAAACTATTTTTCTTTCAAACCATCTATTACTCAGCTATATCCGTTAAATCATTGTAAGATTACAGTGCATGATAGAATGTAAATTAAGTTGCTTATGTAAATGTTTACATAATGTACACTGAGTATAGTAGATAAAAGTTTTGATATAAAAAAATTTTGTTTTTTTTACCTAGTGAGTAAACATGTATTTCATAAAACTTATTTACAAAATTTCATTAGTTTCTAACACTATAAAGTCTTTAAGAACTGGATATTTATTGTGTTACTGTAAACATTTGAAACTATTAAGCTTTTCAAATAATCTGTTTACCTCTGTAGAAATCTACACCCAACCTACAAGTTTATAGCTGGCTTTCAATTATTTTATACAAGGTATGAAATGGACTAAAATGCATTAGTAAACAATAACCTATATGCTTTGGTTGTGGGGTTGTTGGTGCACTCTGTGGTGGAGGAGCAGGTACACTAAAGCTCTTGAGTGGGTGTCCCACTGGTCGTTTCCCCAAAGTGCCATCTCCACCTGTACTAGGATGATGAGGACTGGTATATGTTGAGTGCTGCCCAGTGCCCACAGCCATTGTTATTGGTGGAGAAGAAGGAACTTGTTCATAAGTGACTGATGCCTGCTGTGCAATGGGTGAAGCCATATCAGCTGAGCCTAAAAGTGGAGAATGCAACTTGAGTCACTGCATCATTATTATGTGTTTTAGCTTAGAAGTTAAAATTTTACACCACAACTTAACAAAAATTTGGAAGAGCTTAACTATTAAAGCTTCATTAGACGTATTACTGAAAGAAACAAGGATTAGAGCTTAAGTAATACAAAATATTGTATCAACACTGTTTTATCATTTGGCAGATTCTTTTGGATTATTTGGTAAAAATAATTTGAGATACAGTCCATATAACAAAAACAAATTAAGTTGTTTCTTCATTACTATTTGCTACATCCGTACTCAACTTTTCCAACAGAAACTCCAAATTAATGACAAACCTGACTTACTGATTAGCACTAACTCGGTAGCTCAATCATCTACTCAGTTAGTCTCTCCTCGAACAGTGATTCTTGTATTTATACTGAACTCTACCTTCTACCAAGTATGGGAAGTTTGTAGATCTTAGGCCTACTTTTATGAATTTCTAAATCTGGTATTGTGATCATGATTAGCAGCTCACTCTAGCAAACAACTAAATTATAACATTGTAAATATAGTTTACAACAGTATCTTTGATTTTGAGAATCTTGAATAAAAAATTACTGTCACTTGTTCATTCCTCTGGGAGTCTTAGGAAGAACATGATCATCACTTCCCCTCTCTTTTGGAGTTTTAAGCACTAAACAATTAATGTTTTCAGCTCTTACTAAGTTGTTTTACAAATGTTATCATTACTTTCAGTTTTTTAGTATTTGATAAGTGGTACTATAACAAATTTAATACATTCTATAAATCTACACGAGGGCTATCTGTGCTAGCCGTCCCTAATTTAGCAGTGTAAGACTAGAGGGAAGGCAGCTAGTCACCACTACCCACCACTAACTCTTGGGCTACTCTGTTAACAATGAATAGTGGGATTGACCGTCACATTATAATGCCCCCACGGCTGAAAGGGCTAGCATATTTGGTTTGGATGGGGATTCGAACCCGCTACCCACAGATTGCAAGTCAAGCTCCCTAACTACCTGGCCATGCCGGGCCCTCTAGAGGATATATCACCACTTACAAGTCCTTGTTTATTTCTACAAAACATGCTACTACAAATTTGCTCAAATTTGTTTCTCTTATGAGATAATTCCAAACACCTCTCCTACAGTAAGTATAGTTATCTCAAGCCTAGCAACTAAAAATGAAAGCAGAATTAATAATACTGACAATGAATACTAGGCAATACGCATAATGCCAATATAATGATGTACTATAAGATTAGTCTGTAAAGCCCTACACTTGTGTAAGCCAATTTTATAGACACTTTAAGATTAATCAAAGAGTTTAAGATTAAGCAATTTTTGGGTTGCTGTTTTTTCCAGTCGAAAATACTGAAACTCATTCTGCTTCTACCTGCTTGGGCCACTTAAAAAACTTACAACTTGAAATCAAACACTTCATTTTGTGATTCACTTCCATGTCAACTAACAACTTTATAGTAACTATGGGAATAAATTAATTCATGCTTGGTTCAGAGGTAGCATCCATGCTTCTTTCAGTTGAACTTTATTTTTAAACTTTAATACAGAATCCAAAAATTTTCACCATTATTCTTTATAACAAAGTTAATTATCACAGTGCTATACTTTTTAATACCTATGCCTATAAATACTATACATCATACTCACCTGAATGAACTGGGTCAACAACAATATGGGCTCGGGGAATGTTGTACTGGGTACGTGGGTAAACAGGCCGTGTCAGGCTTGATGTACCAGAATCACAATGCTGATTAATATTTCCATTAGGAATACTGGTGGCAGTGGCAATGGCTGTTATTATAGGAAAAAAGAGAAGTAATGCTTAAATTTTGTTATGAAAAGTCATTGATAGTGCATGAAATGTTATGTCAATTTGATAATTTTTGTTTTCATATTTCAGAAACCTAAAGTGAAATTTAACATTACATTAAAAAATTCTGGGTGATGGCTAGAAACCTACAAAAAAGTGGGGTTGGTAGACATAGGAAGCATCCTATTTAGTAATAAAAAAAAGAATGAAACTAACATTAAGCAAAGAAAATGTGATTGAAGACTTGTTTTAAAAAAACTGCTCTCCATGCAACGTATTCCTATAGAAAATCCTGATAGTTTTCATCCTATTCTATGGTTATGCATGTGGATGTGTGACTGAGTTGCTATTGTCCAATAAGCACAATGGAAAAGTGCCCCCTTTGTGAACATAAATCCTGCTGGTTGAGCCAACTAGTACATATAATAATGCCTTTACTTCTTTATTTCTGCCTGTATGGATTGTATTTATTATGCTTTATCCAAATAAAAAAAGGTTTTGAATTTAAATTCACAAAACAAATGCAATGCTACTGTGTGAAATATACAAAGTTTTGCATCTAAATTTAATAAGTTATAATGTTAATGCAAATTGGTGAGTTCTATATCATATAGCAGAAGCAAATGAATATAGTACAAGTTTTTTTATAATTTTTAGGTATATATGTGTAATAAAATAATATAAATATATATATTGAAGAATATTGTGCTAATTCCTGCTACTTTTATGAATTTCCAAGATTTTTTTTTTAAAGAACATGGATGCATGGTTTATTTTGTTACAGTAATCAACACGTAGAGACTTCCATTGTTGTCTCTTACCATTTCATATTTTCTAATAGCATATCTAAAGGTGGTGCAGCATCTTTATTAGTTTATTTCTTGTTTGCATTGCTCTTCAAAGACATGCTAATGAACATGTCTTTACATGAATACCTATTAGAGGATCTTCTGAGAGAAAAATCTTCAAAGAATTATTTTATGAACAGAAAGATAGGAGATAGTGGCTTTCTGAAGTTAGTATTTCATACTTAATGTCTTAAAAGAAGACTGAGGGTATTACTTACACTTAATGTATTTAATTTCATCTAATAAGTCCATATGCCAAAATCAACAAACATAATTAAAGAATAAAATACATCCACTGCATTAGAAATTTTTGATATTTGCAAATTTTGGATCATCTTTGTATCCAATGTGAACAATTAAAGTTTCATAATCTTTAACAAATTATTCAAAATTGGCAAGCTTGATCTTAAAAAATATGTTTTGCTGAAAAAAACATTCCTCCTATAAACAATGTACCCTTACTAAAACCTTAATGATTTACTTTTCTTTGGCAAGGTTAGGTTTCAGTGCAGTCTATCAATCATATTTGGAGATCCAATCTGTAAGCTAAGGTTGAAGCCTTTTTTTTTTTATATTTCTTGATATTTTCACATGGTGGTACTTTTTATACCAGTATAACAGAAAATCAACGATGGTCTGTATTCTCTAGTGACCAATATTTTAATAGCTATTCCAATTTTTAACACAAGAAAAAACTAATATTACACTAGCTTTTCTTTTTCTCCATTTCATATAAAAAAAGAGCAAAGATCTTAAAATCTTTCCAGATAATCATTAGATTTTTAATATTAATCTATGTTTACTGGACAGCATGCAACTTTCCAGTGACTTATTTGTATTCAACATCACTAACTTTATTTAAAGTTAGATTTTACCTGTTTTCTGTCTTATTTACAACTTTTAGATGTGATGTTGGTTGAAAGTCAAACAAGTTACATCGAACAACACAAGATTTTGTTAATAAAATTATGCTACAGCATCACTCTTCCATTCATACCAAAACTCAATTACAGTATTCAGAAGATCTCCAAATAACACAAAATTCAAGCCCACTTCGAGTCAACCAGGATCCTTGCCAGCATATTAACAAATGTCAAACAAACAACACATAAATTAACAACCAAAGGTGTACATTTATAAAATACCATATACCTACAGAGAAACTATCAGACAATTGAAAACAAACACAACCACTAGCAGAACATAAGACAGACCAGAGACTAGAAAAATGCAGTGATTGACAGAGAGATAAACTGGAAAACAAGAAAAATGAAAGAAACAATACATATCAGAACACAAATCAACAATCATACGTGTTTTGTAGAGGAATATTTAACCAAATTTTAAAACAAGAACATTTATTTTTCAATGAAAACATAGTTGTTATTTACCTAGTGGACAATTTGTCAACAAATTTCATACATTTATCAAAAATCATACCAAAACAAGATTTATCATGTTAAAGTTTGTAAGGTATGAAGCCTGACTGTGACCAAATCCAAGTAAAACCACTGAAATATAGACAATGAATTTACAAACAAATATGCCAGCTTATTCTTCTCCATTAAGAAATACTTTATTAATAGATCATGTGCTCAAAAGACTTCAATATGGAGGAGATAAACTGATAAAAAATACAGAACAATAACTAAAACAAAGTGAATAAATTCCTGTCACAATTTTATATTTTCTTCTTCTAATTGGGTTTAATTTTTATTTTGGCAAAAAAATAAATAAAAATGAACATTGAGAGCCTCTTTAGTTGACAGAGCAAAAATAGAAATGAGCTTCCAAAACCTGACTCATGGAAAGAGCAGGCAGGGATTATATCCTACATTTTCTACTATGCAGTCTGTATTTTTAGACTGCTGTTTGGATTTCTATAACGTTGCATCAAAATAAACTTTAATTCACCAGTTCAGTTCACATAAAAGGACATCACTGATAAGCTATTACTGCTGCAAAGGCTGATTAACAAAAGATGCTGCTTAGGTAAAATAGTTTTTTTAAATTGACTCTTGGCTTTCAAGCACTACATAAAAATGATCCTAGCAAATTCCTTCAAGATACTATTCTGTATACTCACGCTCTCTTGGGAGTGGCTTTTGTGAATCAACAGGAATCATTATGGGTTTGGCTCTTACAGCCCTCCGGGGCAGAGAGGATTTGTCATTGGTTTTATTGTCATCCTCAAGCGAAGGGTCTGGGAGTTTGAGATGGCAAAAAAAAGAAAGAAAAAAGAAAACTTACCACTAAATAATTTTAAATAAAGAATAATGTAAAAAAAAACTGAATACTTATAAATTTTGTCTGAATTCCAGATGTTAATTCTATCAATAGAAGCTGCTTACTAACACACACGCATATATTCTCATTAGTCTTCTCTTGCATAATGAGCTAAATTTATCGAAAAAACAAATATACATATAAAAAATAAGCTTTCTATTGTTTTCTTTTGAAGTAGAATTTTGAATTTCTGTATAACACATTCAGGAGTCTAACTCTTGCACAGTTTTTGCAAGATAATTTTCCTTCAGTTTTTCCTCTGTGCATACCTTAATTTTTGTTTTGTTTTTTGATGGTCAACCATTTTATTGTGACCAAGCATCAAACACATATCATCATAATAGATGGTAGTAGTAATTTTGTCTCTTGTTATTTTATTCTTATCCAAGATCTAGCAGTTAGTATACAGTCTGTAGTGAAAGAAAAAAGATCTTCTGATCAGGATTTTTGTTTTAATTTTCAACCTTAACACATTTTTAATACCTGTATATAAAGGTCCCTTCTTTCTTTCCAAAGTACTGATAATTGGTTCACAGCTCAGTTCTTGTGAATTACGTGGAATGGGTGTAACAGTCATGGTTGTTTCAGTACTATGTCCTTTGTCTAATGATTTCAGTTCCATCTGATCATGGTGAATCCACAAGTCTGGTGGTTTAAGGTCTTTATTTGCTCCCAAACCTTTAGCTGCTGTTTTGGTACTGCAAAGAAAGAACGTTTTTATATACATCAGTAAATGGAGCTACAAATTAAAATAAGAATTAAAAATATAAACACTTCCCTATACAAAAGAATAACACTTATTTGTAGAGCACGTCTAACACTAAAAATTTAAATGCTTATTTCAAGTCTGCATACTGATATATCCTTATACTTTAATGTCTATTATCATATGTCATGTATATGATATTTCATTAATTTTAGAGGTCATGCTTCTCCACTGGCTGAGCCACTGCCCACATGACTTTTTTGTTCAATAGCAAATATGACCAATGAGACTTGACCAGTAATAGTCAAAAGTCTATCTGTAAAGTTAATCATACACAGTGTTAAAAACTTAATGTTGCAGTACTGAACAAAAACATCTAAGGCAGTGAGTGATTTATGGCACACAAAAGATGGATTTAAAACAATATTTTTACATGCCTGTCATTTAAATTCTCTTCTAGAATAAATAAGAGAATATAAAGAAAGAAATATCTACAATACAGCAAGAAGTATCATCACACTTTTATGCTTAAAAACTTTTATTAATCTGTTTTAAATGATAAATTATAGTACCCCTTTCAAATTGATAACAACAGTGGTTTTCATGACTTATTGTAAAAATACAAGTGCCTAGGCCTTATAGCCCCACTACTTTCACCACTGATGGTGGTTTACATAATGGACATGGTTATATATTATTGTTCTGCTTTGCAATTTCCACTGAGGTTCATGCTGTCTATCTCCTCTTTGCATGTTTGCAAAGTCTATCAACTGTGCATGGACGACAATTTCAGAGATTCTGTTTGGGTAACTCATTTAACGACTTTCTGCAAAGATAATAGCATGAATTCCCATTTGTATTCGCATCTTGAGGTAGTAGCATGTTAACTTGGATATTTTGCTGGATGCTCTGTCTTGATGGAGCCAAATCTTACTGGCATACAGTCTGTGTAAAGACAGCATTTCATTGCAGTACCGTGGTGACAGAAACTAATCTGATAGCACAAAGAGTTCATCTTAACATTTTTCTCAATTATCCAAATGTCTGTTTCATTTTTAAGCACAAAGATACATAATGTATCTGTGGTGTGTCTACTACAGATATTGAACCTAATTGTTTAGCTTTATTAGCCTGCCAGCTTACCACTGAGCCATTTGGGCAGGTGGGAACCTGGATTTTTAACTTTCCATTATAGTTTAAATTCGATGACGAGGAACCCACTTTGAGACTAATAATGGCTGGAGACGGCTTGAATGGGTAATGAAGAAAAACTTTAATATAAGTTTAACATAACAGCAAATGTACAACGTTTCGACAAGGTTTTC